CCCGCGACGCAACGGCCCGAGCGCGGTTGTCTCCACATCCGTTCAGATGCAGGTACACCTGTGCGTGGTCGCTCGGGAGGTCGGCTTTGCAGATATTCCAGGAGGTCCCAGAGGTCGGTTTCAAATCCAGGAAGTCCCCAGTGAACATATTGGTGTAACTACGGTCAATCCTGGACACCCTAACCGCATTCCCATTCCGAGTGGTGTGGTGGGTCGGATTCTCTTGGTAACATTCCATAACATTAGGCAATAAAGACCAGAACTTGTGAGCGAGGGAGTCAGGGCTGTTGATCTGCACAGAGCCGTCTACTCGCTGGGTGCCCTCGCCCAGCTCGCAAAAGTTGAAGTCTCCAACAAAGAACAAGAGGCCCTGGGCAGTATGCAAAAAGTCCGCGCACATGCTGAATATTCTGATGTTCTCTCTGCGGCGGCAACCCGGGTCGAGGTGGGGGTTCAGGATGGTGGGCGAGAAAGAGTCGGACTGAATAGTGACAGCATGGAGACGACCAGGAATAACCACAGCATGGATGTTGAGGAAGCAGAGCGGGCAGGGAGCGAGCGAGCATGATCGTTTTTCCCGCCAGCGTGGCTGTCGGGACAGAACGTGCAGTAGGATTCAAAGCCAGGGAACTCGGTGCGCAAGGATTCATGATCCCCTTCATGGCCGTGCGTTTCTTGTAAGCAAAGGATATTGTTTGCTCTAGTTAGGTTAGTGAGTCGATCGACGGTCTTGACCTGAGTGTCGCGGTCCCCAGAGACCGCGCCGAACAGGGTATGACAGTTCCAGGTAGCAATCCGAATGCCCCGACCATTGGCCAGGGACGGCGGAAAAGAGAAGCGAGAACTCGCTGGGTTCTCAGGCGAAGGCGGCTAGGCTCCGAAACCAGCATTCGACAGAACAGGTGAGCAACAGGCAGAGGACGCGGAGGCAGCGGGGGGAGAAGCGGGCGGCAGAGGCAGCGAAGAAGCGGGAACATACGACAAACTTGCACGCGATACTGGGCTGGCGTCACTGCAGTACTGCTGGACGGAGGCCTGGGCCTGCTCGATCATCCAGTTGGCGGTCGTCTCGGAGATGTGCCATTCGGAAAGCTGGTCACTGATCGGCTTCAGCTCGTACATGCCTCCAGGAGCGTCGGATAACTTGAAGATCTCCCAGTGGTCATTCTCGGTGGTGGTGCTGAACGCGCCTTTGAATGGGTCGGTGCCGATCTTGACCGTCGGACTCCACTTGGCTGCATTCTCGAGGTGCTTGCGGACGAGCGGCCAGATAGCACTCAGGACGCGGTTCTTCTGGCGGGCTTGCAACGGCATGTCTCTGCGGCAACGAAGTGGGTGAATGGAGGAGTTGCGGTAGTCCTGCCACGTCGCGGGATTCGCGAGGAACCAGTCACGGAAGTCGCGGACCTTTTGATCGGAGTTGAAGGTGAGGGCGAACGCCTGCGAGCCTTTGTGGAAGTGGCCTGTCATCCCTTCGCTGATGGTGGCAGGCAGTCTGCCTTTGATATGATTGGAGACGGTGCGCCTGTACGGCTCGGTGACTGGGCGAGGAAAACCACTCATCCAGCGTCTGGTCGGGTCGATCGGGTTGTGCTCGTCGGTGGCGGGGTCGATCACGGGGATCTCGGACGAGCTGGAGCCGACGCTGGTGCCCATTCCCAAGCGGCGAGCCTTTGACGGCGGGCGAGTCGAAGCGGAGCCTGCATCATCAGACGGGGCACGCTGAAGCTCAGCAAGGGGCGCCTCGAGCCTGGCCATCTTCTCGTTCGTCTGGCGCTGAATCTCGAGCCCTGCATTTTTGGCGGTGGGGTTGCCGTCCTCGGTGTCGAAGAAGGCGGCGTTGGTGGCGGCTTCTTGATGAGCATGTTCGAATCGAGAAACTCGTAGATCCATGTCGAGAACTAGCGCTTCGTGTGCGGCCTTGGCCTCGTCGAACTTGCCCTCCATTGCGAGCTCGAGATCCGAAATCTTCTCCTCGAGTCCTTCTGCTACGGCGAGTCGTTCTTTGACATCCTTGATGTCCCCCCTCATGGCGTTCATGCCGCCGTTCATGCCTTCGAGCCCCTGAAGCAGCTGCGCATTGGATACTTCTGCGGCAGCCATTGCACTGCCAGTGAACGAGGCAGAAGTGGTGCACGTGAAAAGTAAACAGGTTGGCAAAATGCCTCACTGAGCGAAAAGGGTCAACCCCCGACCCTTGTGTCGCGGGCCGAGTCGGGAGCAGCCCTGCTCTGACCTGGCCAGCTGCCTTGAGCCAAAATGGCTTGAGCCAAAATGGCTACGGAAAAGGAGGAGGAGGAGGAGGAGGAGAAGGAGGAGGAGGAGGAGGAGGGGGGGGGTCGGGAGCAGGAGACGGACGACGCGGAGGCGTGCCATTGGCTTTCGGACCGAGCCTGTGCCTGCCCGCACGAAGGCGAGCGGACTCCGTTGGTCCAGCCTGGTGCGGGGGGCCCGCACGCCCAGTGACGCCACGCCAGAGCCGTGCTGAGAGCTGAGCGGGGGGCAGGCCGAGGCGCGACTCGAGAATGCCGACCTGACCTGCAACGCCCCCCCCCCCCCCGGGGAGCGCTGCGAAGGCGAAGGAGACAGTCGGCGTGACCGAAGCGAGGATGCCACATCGGTCGGCGGAGCGACCGAACAACGGCAGCTGCTGCCCGCATGCGCAACCATACCAAGGCCAGACCAGCAGGGCGCGGCCACGATGGACCCAGACGCCGCCTGATGTGCCTCCAAGATGGCCCGAGATGGCCACAACAGGGCTCCAAGTGGAGCCCCAGGAGGCCAATCTGATTGACATCCCCCAGGGACTTGAAGGGCGTTCGCGTTCTCACCTCTCTCATGCTTCCGACAGACCAAGACCGACGACTCTCAAGTATGTCTCCACGATGACCCCAAGACTTGTGGACGACATGACAATGGACACTCTAACACTCCTATCATGGAATTAAACATGTGCTCACAATGTGTAAATCATGTTAAAAAGATGTTTCAAATATGTGTTTAACATATTTAAACACAAATTTGAAACACCTTTTAGACATCTGGAAATTATTTGGCAGCACGCTTCCTCTCCGTTCATCCACTTCTTTGGACACCCGAAATGGGTACCGAAAGAATGGGCAACATGCCAAACAACAAATGTTGTCCCGAACCAACAGCGGCCGCTGTTGGGCGGGCGACCTGCTGTCTCGAATGGTTACAGGCCGCGGCGGCGTGGACAGCGAGTCCTGTTCAAAATGAACAGGATCCGCTGTTGGGCATAGTACCCATTCTTTCAGTACCCATTTCGGGCGTCCAGAACTTCCACCACCCAAGACGGCCCACAAAGGCCGCCGGGAGTGGCCCTGGATGGCCCAAGACGACTCGAGAGGCCGCCGAGACGGCCCCGGAGAGCCCCACAACGGCTCCGGCGGGCCCCCGGGGAGCGGGAAGACGGCCCGGAGGAGCTCTCAGGGTGGCCTCGGGGAGCGCCGCCGGGCCATGGGGCACCGCACACGAGATGGCGCAGGGGGGCAGGGCTGAACCCAAACGGTGTTTTTCGCTGTCGTTTTGGTGTCGTGTTCCTTCGCTCTTGTCCCGAACCAGCCTTTCACCGCAGAACGACGTAGCAACGAAAACCAGGGGCTCCCCATTTCGCGCCCTCGCGCTGCGCGAAGCGCGAATGACTTCGCGCCCTCGCGCCGCCTCCCAGGGGAGAAGAGGAGGACGAGGAGGAATCGGAGCCGAATCGCGAAGCGCGAATAATCGGCGGTGGACAAACCTCCCTTTGGTATACCTCCCCTTAGTGAAAACGGCCTGGGACCGAAACCAACGGACCTGGACCCGCAAAAATGACGGCCGCGACACCCTCTCGCGAACCGAAAACGGCCAATTCCTCAATCGACGTGTCAGGGTAGGAGGTCTGTCCATCCCCGAAATAACTTCGCGCCCTCGAGGGCGCCCTTGGAAAACGGCCCACGGAATCAACAAAAACACTGTTCGGGTCCGGGCCCTGCAGGGGAGAGCCCCCCCAGGCGGCCCGAGAGGCCCCTGTCGTGGGGGCCCCACGCGCGCTTGTCGAAACGGCAGGGGTCGGCGGTGGTTCGCGGGAGGCGTCTTCGATCTTATCGTAGCAAGAAGTCGGGCGTGTCCACGGTCAAAAATACTCCAAAAATAGCCCCCTGACTATTTTTTGACTATGTTTGAATATTCCTCCTGTAGATGGACAGGCCCGACTTACAATCGTAGCATGTGTTCCACTCGTTTCCCTGCCACGCGAACGCAAGAACGACACCGAACCACGATGTCGTGATCGGGAGGAGACAAGGGCAAAAGGAGGGGCGCGGGGATTCCGAGGGAGCTGCCCGCATGGCCTTTGCAATACATCAATTCGCTACCCTGTTGCTGTCGAGGTGGCTCCAACTGTGCCGCAACCCGATGAATTTTGACACGCGGACGGGTTCATGTCATGCGTGACGCGCTCCTGTCTGCCAGTTCTTGTCCCAACTCACCACTGCGCTCGTCTAAGTCATCTAACTTCGCGCAACTCAGGTCGATTGGGGGGAGAAGGAAGACGCGGAGCGAACTTACCTTCGCGCTCTCGATTGACAACTTGGCTCGCTGATCTTTGGTGGTCGAGTGAGGCCGCCCGGCAGGCGGTCCAACAGATTGCCGTAAGGCGAGTCCCCGTCCGCCTCATTCTGCTCCGAAGCCCCACCTGGCAGGGCAACTTGTGGGGAGGAGGAACATGAACATGAACGAGCTCGTGGGCTTCTGCTGATCACGCCTGCCGACTGACCTCACGCCACAGCAACGCACTCTCATTAGGAATCTTAGTCGGATGACTATGCACCCTGCTAATGGCGATTAAGTATGCCTGCTGCGCTCCGCGGGAACAACACGGGGCAAGCAAGGGATCCGAACGCGGCATCCAACCGCTGAATGGACCCAGCCCCCCGGCACGAGGACCGCCCGCCTCCCCACGACCCCCACCCCCACGACCAAACGACCCCCTTCCACGTCCTCTGCTTGGAGCCTCAACCCTGGGTGCAAAAAACAATCGGTGTCTGCCGCAGACTATCATTATCAAGCGTGGGAACACTAAATGCAAGGCGTGAGGGCAGATTCCCCTCTCTCTTGAAGCTCTCCGAAGCGCAGGTTGCTGGGGAAAGCCTCCGGAACAGACCGAGAATGTGAATCCGTCGCCAAGCCTCTAGACTGCCCTAAAAATGACCACCTCCTCCCTCACTCATCACTGCTTATACGCGCCCCCCTGGACCGCATCGCCGCGACCTCGCGCTCGAGAGGCCCACGGTTAACGGCTTCTGCCAAGAACACCTCGCTCTCGACGGTCTCCAGCAGCGGCGCCACCAACCTCCTGAAACCGGTCGTCGTGTCGAATTCATCATGTTCGTACACTTGTGCTTGCCTCCCTCCGCCGCACACGAGGTACAACACCGCACGAGACAACTCCACGGGTTCGGCCATCATGCGCTTCTCCTGGCGCACCGTCTGGAAAGCGAACTGCAACTTCTTCTCGCGCTCCTGATGTGGTCCTGCCAATGTGTCACCTCGGCGCCGTAGACGATGGCTCCCACGCATGCTTGGAGGTGCGGAGGACCTCGCGCCCGCCAGTCCACGGCGACGCCCTTCTTGGACTTCTCCATGAGGTCTTTGCTGACCTCGTCGTGTTGCTGCCCCGACTTGTGACAAGCAACGATGAGGCCAACGGCTACCATCATCTCGTAACGCTTGAGAGCGTTGGCGGCCAGGTCGGCGATCTCCCAGGCGCTCGTGATGAGCAAGTCCACATCGCCACGCTCAGCGTATCCTTGTCGATGCCTCGCTGGCGCCCCTGCTTGTGAGCACGCTCGTTGAATCCACCTTCTGCCTGTCTCTTGTTCGCTACGGCGACGTGGCCACTGAACCAAGCTGGGAGCGCGCCGCCTCTGCCTGCCACCGATCCGTTGCCCTCCTCTTCGGTCATCGCTGCCGCCGCCGCATACATCACGATCAAAGCGCAGTTGAAGCACAACAGGGAGGTGGGTGAGCAAGTGCGCGCACAAGTGCACAAAGTTACAGGCTTCAGATGTTCAGCTGGTGCATGTTAGAGAAGATGGTGCGATAAGTTTGCGAAGACGTTAAGGGCCTTGTAGTCATATATTGCCTCCATGGGAGCGACCTTTGAAGGTATAGTGCTGCTTTTGCTGTGCAAGCAAATGTCTGGCGGCCGTTAATGCAGATGTTTGTGGGCGTCAAACACCTACACATATTACGAAGATGGTGCTTTTGTCTTAGATGGTTCATAATATTCCCCCCCGACGTAAACCTGGCGCCACAAGGTGCGTCCGGTCCATCCACATTCAACCAACCACGACAGAACTCATGCCAAGGAACCGCTTTTGCAACGGGGGACGTCGAACAGGCCCAACCAAGAGGTGCCACACGAACTGACAAATGACGAACAATTATCTCGGTGAAATATACTACCTGTAGGTCCTCCGCTCTATCAGCGTGCCCCAATATACTTGAATCCCCCACAAGATAAACCAACATGACCACCTCCAGCTGTTCCGCCACCCAAGCAACATACTTATTAAGTTGTAGGACCCACTGCGAGAAATGCGAGGACGGGCGCCCCTCTAGCAGTGGGGGGCGATCACGATCGAACGGTGCGACTTCAGACAAAAAATCACACAGCACCTGACAATTATTTTGTGGATCAAGGGCCCACGATTGGTACATGCGCAGCCTACGGATCGATGTCATTCTCGCGCGCCAGAAAAAACTTCCAATGTGCCAGACGACTTGAAGTTAGACAAGACAGTGGGACGAGGTCCTGCCCACGACGTCGCCGCTCCCGTGATGGCAGTCCTACCCAGAGCGGCCATTGCACTACCAAGCCGACGGCAATCGGCAGGAGACAAAACAAAACCCTCAAGACCAATGAGGAATGCACCCTGGCCGATCCCTATCAGCAACGTCCGCTTCCATTTGAATGAAAAAAGGAGTGCTTCAGCATGCGCCCAGGAGGGGAAACGACGACAGAACTGCCGAAATCCGTCTTGCAGCTTATCCCTTAGAAAATTATGACAAGGTATGTACGGGCTCAAATACCTAGCCAACTCCTTCGGGACCCCCATCAACCGTCTGCTGCCAAGACCCCCTGGAATTCTCGGCAATGGTGCCCTGCTGGGGTTCCTGGCTGCTGGGTTCCCAGCCGGCCCGTATCATAAGGATGCGCGAAAAGGGTGCAAGGGCCTTTGAAGGCCATCTCGGAGCTTTTCGAGCGGGGCGCGGCCAACGAAAGTGGCGAGGGATGGGCCGAGGGGAAAAGGATGCAAGGGTACCCTTGGGAAGATTAATCATCCTTACCATGCGGGTTGACTGTACCTCGGACATCCTCCGAAACTGACGTCTAAACGCTTGGCTGTTGACGGTGGAGTGAAGTAAGTACTCCTGTGTCGTTCTGCTCTGGTCGTGCCCCGCCTTCTCGAGACGATCATCCTATGGCCCATCCATCTTGCCCAACCTCTCGAGGAACGAATCGAAGGTGGAGAAGGGGTCCACCAAGCAAAACGCGTTAAACCGTCGGTTCATTTAAACAGGCTTAAGACTCAACGATGCGTACCCCACTCCGCTATGATATCCTTCGCATACGCATCTTCCGTCCTGAGGACAAAGGTGCGGGGAGGAGAAGGAGGAGGAGGAGGAGGAAGAGGAGGAGGAGGAGAAGAAGGCGCTGCTGCAAGCATGGGTGAATCGACAGGGCGTCTTGCGAATGTACGGGCTTAGCTCGCTGCCTGGCTTCCTTGACCAATCTTTGGTCATGCCGCACCCACTCGTAGTCTGCCCAGCCTTCAATGTTGGGCGCTCCTTACTTCATTCTTGTCGACGTGCAACTTTCATATAACTTTCGTGGAGGAGTTGTGCTTTTGCAGGTTGGGGGGAAGGGGTGGGAATAAATCTTGACCCCCCTCTCGCATCAGTGAAGACGGTGCCCAGAAACAAAGCATATGGCGGAAACTCGAGCTCTGGTAGGCCGATTTCAAGACGCCGCACAATACAATGTCCTAAACAAAACGACCATTCCTCATCCCTCCACAACGCGTGCACTCCGGAACCCATGAATCAACTGCTGCTCATCAACCAAATCCTATCAAGAAACTTGCCGACGGGAACGACGTGTGAAAATCAAACGTGCAAATCGATCAAGAACGACACGCTCGGATCATCACCGCAACGAGTGTCAACATGTGTGGCCAAGTACCCCAAGCGATGGGATCAACTCATGTTGTGATTGAGAGGGCATCCCAACATCATTCACCCGTAGTTTATGTTTACGATGCACGCGCGTGATCAAGTGCGGTGTACACCTGCGCATGTGCGATTCTCTCTGTATCTCTTCATGCCCCCCGCCTGCACGCGCCAACTAATCAATGATACCCTTCCGTTATACGAACAAACTCAAATTCGAGTCTGACCAAGAAACATTTATCATTGCGTCACGACTGAAAGAACACGGCGCGACCGTCCGGCTTCGGCGCCACCGTCGGCGCTCCCTTCGCGCCAGGGGGTTGCGGGCGCGGGTGCCAGAGCGGCGGTGGGCGGAGACGGCAGGCATCGCTCACAGCGCTGCGCCGCATGGAAAACGAAAGGCTGGAGGACTATCCCCTTCCCTCCCTCTCGCCTTCTGCTCCCGGTTCCTGGGCCCTGGCGGCATAAAGTCCCTACGGGTGCTGCCCCCCATAAGGCCGGTCGGCCCTGGGGGGTTGAGATCAAACTGATGCCAAGTGACCCCTGGAACAACGTTCCAAGGGCCACTGGCGGCATTTTAAAAAAAGAAAGAAAAATAAGAAGAACAAGTCCTCTCCTCCAATTGCTCCTTCGAAGTAACTTTTGCGCGTCGCGCCCCGAAGCCCGTTTTGAGGGCGGGCCGGGCGTTTCGCCTGAGACTTTTTCGTCATTTGTGACCCTGAAACGTAAACATTGGCAACGGCTTCACAAATGGAGGGCGGGCCGTCCTTGATGGCCCATTTTGTCAAAATGCGGCTCTCGCCACAGCGCCGCGCACACAATTTCAGCAAATTTGCGGATGCGAACGGCGGTTGGCAACCAATGAATCGAAGCTGCCGCACGATTCGTAAGTGGGGGACGATGGGGGGCAATGATGAAACTCGTTTGTCCATGCGCCCGCGTGAACTGGGGCGCTCAATATGTCCATTGCCTGAACCGAAAAGATAGCAGGATAGGTGGATAGAAAGAAAAATGAGCCGTCTTCACACGCACGCGCACACCCCACCCCGAATCCCGCCCGCTCCACGTTGGCCTCGGGCCCGCGGGGGACGGCGGGGGGACCCGGGGACAGAGGTGTGAAGAATACTCATAACACCGTTTCCATCCCCTGCGACCCCCAAACGGGGTCCACTTCGGAAGAAAGAGTTCGAAAAGGACCAACCACGCCGCACGGGGTACTTAGGGAAGTCTATCCGCCTTTCGCGGGCCGAGGGTGCGCCGCCCAAAAACGTTTCGACACACCTCGACGACTCCCCGTCACCAGACGCGACGGGGTTGGGAGAACAACGGGAAGAAGAAAATAACATCATGCGTCAAGTGCGCCACTGAAATGCAGGCACGCAGGCGTTTCCACCCGCGCACAAACTCGCGTGTGCAGGTATGCGCTCGAAGCGCGGATGCAATTCAAATCTAATATGCATCAAAAGCTTCGGGCGCGTAACATCCCAAATCATGAATTCAGAAGTGTATGCGCCGTGGAAGCTGTGACGACAACTGATCAACATCAGAGCAATGTAACAAAGCATTCGCAGGGCACTCTGGGCCCTAAGAACTAGCCTCGGAATCTGCGGACGCGAAACAAGCCAAATAAGACAATCAATGGTATGTACGCGATGGAAGATGCGTTGGCAACTGATCAGGTTGATGATCGAGTAAACGTCTAATCACGAGGACACACCAGGCCCCGAATCATTTATGTTGTGTATCCAGCAAAGATCCATGGCTGATAATGTCACTGAATTGGGTCGTGGGGATCATGCTTCGCGCATGTCGTCCCGCGAGATCACCGACATCCCAACGCAATGCGGTTCCATCACCCGGTAATATTAGTTACGGTTTTCCAAGGGCGACCTGCCTGGGTGCGCTTATGCCCATGGTATCGAAAGTCGTTATACGAAATATGTTTTTTGTCCGGGACGTAAAAATACTGATGTACACGTCCAGACAGCAGCAAGCATTAAAAAGTCAATCCAAGCGTTGTATCTGTCAACGCAACAAACGAAACATATTTGGATCATCGTATACAGGATCCCAAGTACGATTGCCACGACTGTCGAATTGCCCAAGTGTGCGCGTGGGGATATGGCCAACCCAACTGTACTCGCAATCGTTCTCGTCAGTGTAGGTCCACGCTTCTAAATAGACTGACCAGTAGCGGCGCGCGTTATCGCGGTAGTGCACCAGGGAGTTACGCCGCCATGTCTCTGAGAACGCCCGTCGAGTGCCGCTCCGACTGCGCTTGCTGGTCAGGTGTTGCGAGCCTCGCGACCTGCGCGGCGGCGTCGCTGGCCTCCGCGCCGTCGCCGCAGTCGGCGCGGCAGCTGCCGCGGCCCCGCCAGTCCAGCCAGCTTCGCCGGGGGCACGGCCGTCGGGCGACGACGCGCCCGGGGAGACGGCAGCGCCCGTGGCTGGCCCATCGCGGCGCGGCGGCGGAGGCGCGGGTGGCGGGGCGGGGCGGGGGCCGGTGACAGGGCCAATCCCCTCGCCGAAGGCTTTGCCCCCTTCAGTCTGTGCAGTGGCGCGATGCGTCGCTCTGAGCCGCGCAAGGGCCACGCGGCCCTGGCCCGCTTGATGCGCTCAGCGCGACTCATCGCACCAGGTGCGGGAATTTCACGTTCGGCGCAACCTTCTCCACGCTTTCGGCGCAGAATTCTATGTCCGGGAGCGCGTGGCCAATTCCATGTCCGGGAGCGCGTGAATTGGCAGATGTCTCAGTTCACGTCAACGTGTCATTTGCTGCCAGAAAACGAGTCACTCCTGGAAGCGAAGGACGACGTTTTGGCATGGGTGGCATGCAACAATCCCCCCATCTCTTCGTCGGCCTGGGCGCCGGCAAAGCGACGCGCGCGCGCCGTTGGTTCTCCCGCCGCAAGCCAACTCTCGCGGCATCGTTTCCCCGTCTGGATGTCGGGGACGCCTGTCTGGGCGAGTGACTCAATCCACTCGCGGGCGTTTCCACCGGCGCTCAGCGAACGTCCAGGATCACGGAGAGTCCGATCGGGGATCGCGAGCGCCGTCGGCAGCAAGATCGGCGAAGAGAGACTCGCATCCCTCATCAGTC